TTTCTGATGCAGTTGTTAAAAAAAAAAAAAAGTACTCAGCAGCAGGAAAAATAACCACTAAGACTATTAGATCAATGCCTCTAATATGTGCTGTATTGTTTTTCACCACAATTGCTTAGCCATCATTCCCACAGTTACCCCACCTAAACTTCAGCCAAATTACCACACTGGAAAGTCCCTTTGATTAAACCTTCACTTGTTGTTGCACTTAGGAAGCATGAGCATCTTGCCAAGCCTATGTCAAGGCTATTCCTAGTGAGGTATGGAGAGAAACAGATCCTTGAAACACTGAGTGAGAATGTGAAGAGAAAAGTGAGCCATTATGCTATTCTCAATTACTTGTTATGATGATTTTATTCCCTGCTGTTAAGAAGTGAAATCATGATCTTCCCTGATTGTTGTTCCATTAACCATTGAGTACATTCTTGAATATAGATTTGCACACTGTTTGTTGAGTGATTTTTGATGAATTGAATGTTTACTCAAGCTGCCTGATTGGTTGATTCCATAGCTGTTGTTTTCATGTACAAAGTCTGTGAAATTGTGTCATGAGCCAGTCATTGAACTTATCTTGAAAAATCTGTTTGATTTAAAATGAGGTTACATGTGAGGATAAAAGTTGATACATAAATCATGCTTATTGTTTTGCTGATTGGAAGTGAATTTGTTCCTTGGGGACAAGTAACAATGTAAGTTTGGGGGTGTGATAAGTCCATGATTTATGACTTTGAACATGTGTTTTGATGTTAAAATGGGAATGAAAAGGATATCTTTTGTAAATTAAAACCCCAAATATTGCATTGCAGTGAAGAATTCAGATTTTAATACTAATGGGCTGATTTTGTATGTTTCATTCCCAAATTAGTGTTATTTCTCCAAGCAAAAAAAATGAAGAAAAATTGGGCCAATCCTTTGTTGATCAGAAGCCCAAAGTGAGAAAAGAAAGAAACAAAGGTGGAAAAAGCCAAATCAAAAGAAGAAAATAAAAGAATGGGCCAGATGAAAACCAACCAACCAATGGCCCAAAGAAGAAAAGAAGAAAAGTGAGAAAAGAAAGAAAAGAAGGGAAACAAGAGACAGAGGCAGAATCGTGAGAAAGATCAGAAAGGAAGAAAAAAAAACCCTAGCACTCAAACCGTCGAAGAAAACCCACCTCCATCTAGACCCTCATCTCAACCGCTCTTTCCAAATCCCTTCACCAATCTAGACCGCCCTTCATAATCGGTCGAAGACACAGAACCCTAACCCACCACGGTTCTTTTCTTGAATCGAACCACCCACAACACAAACCCTACCCGATTTTTGAAGACACAGAAAAATCCAAACAAGTTGATGAGCTGGAGGTTGTTAGTAGTGGTAGCTGGAGCTGCTTTTGTGGTGCGTTGCTGATCGCGCAAGGGACACCCACGATCGAGTGGAGCGAGGAGCATACGTACGGTGGAGGAGGTGATTTGGGATCAGCTATAAAGAAAGGGATAAAGGCATTTTTGTAGGACACTCTCTATTTTTCTCTGCTTCGCTGAATTTTATTTTGCTCTTTGGGATATTTTTATGTTACTGTTTCTGTTTTCAATTTTTAGTATTTCTGTTTGTAATTTTTGGTGAGCACTGTTTCAGGGCTATCGGCTGTTGATAGTACCTGAGTTTTGTTTTTAGTACATTTTAAAGTTTCTGTTTTTATTATGTACTCTTGCTGTATGTTAGCTCATCAACCTGTGGTGATGAGCTAATTTTCTTAGAGTTGGGTTGAAAGAGTACCCGGAACTCATTGTTTATTAGATGATGTTTTGATGTTTACATTGTTGATTCCAGTTTGTTTACTGTGCATTTTTATTGCTGAGTTTATTATGTGATGATCGCACATAGGCTACTCCTAGTGGTGTGAGAATATTGGGAAATAGCTCACACTAGACCCACTGTGAGCACATGAAAAGTTGAGAGAAGATCTCTCTCAATGGGTATGGCTCCAGGGGTGAAGTTACCCCATGTAACTTGTGAAAATGGTACTTCAAGGTCTTATGACAACAGTGACATAGGGATATGCCATCTGTTGTCAGTGGAAGAAAATTGTTGTTGGGAAACAACAATTATTTTAGTATTTTCGTTAAGCTGGGAGCAATCTCTGTTTTCTATTAAAGCATCCTAATGGCAAATGAGGGAAGGGGAAATAGACACCTAACTTACTTCCAAATATTGTTTTCAAAACCCATCTTTTTCAACTTTTTGTATTTTCATCCAAATCTGAAATTATTTTTCTGTTTTAAAACATAAAAGAAAATCATTACAAAAAAATATTTTACAAGTCTTTTAGTTAAGTTATTTTTCTAGGCAGTAGTTAAAGATCCTTTCACTAACTAAAATCACTGTTTTAAAAAGAGAAAATCTCCACAAAAACATTTTCAGTACACTAGTTTAGAATAGTAGTAGCCTTTCATTTTATTTTATTCTATTTTTAGTTCTGTTAGCAATTACCAATTTATTTCAAGTTAAAACGCAAAGATCCTTGTGGGAACGATAACTGGGACTCACAAAAGCCCTATATTACTTGTTGTCGCGTATACTTGCGCGCTTATTTGCACAACTGTTAGCAAGGCAACAAGCAGTAACAAAAAAGTTTACACATAAACAACTTATTTAAAGTCAAGTTGAGGCTACATAAAAGCGAGCAAATGTCTATAAAAAAAAATAAAAGCGAGCAAATGATTTAGAATTGGAAGTGCAAAAGTTAAATGAGATTATAAAAAAAACTAGGAAGAGGCTAACATCCAACTTCAATTTGATTTGTTGTGTCAACGTGAAATGATTGATATTCAATGTGCTGCTTTTGAAAACCAACAGGAGTAAATGAAGCAAGACCTTGAGAAAGAGATAAAACGTCAAATGGCTGCCATATTAGGAGGATTTTCTTCAATGGAATAACTAATGCCTTATGTGGTCCTAGTAATAATGTAAATTTTTTTTTTTTGTTAATTTAATTTTTTTCTTAGTATTTTTTTTTGGTAAACTTTTCTTAGTATCTTTATTATGACATGTTATTGCTAAGTTATATTTTTTGAAAGTTACTGGTTACTTTGATTTTATTAACATTAAATTTTTTTATTTGCTAGATCAAAATCCTTGAAGTTTCAATTGTTTCATTACTATTTTGGACATTTAGTTTCTTTTTAATATAAAAATTCTGAAACACTTCGTAGTACATTGATTTATAAATATTTTGAATTGGATATTTTGTTATTTTTATTATTGTAAATGAATGTTTGATCAATAGTTTATTTTAATCATTTAAAGGTCTATAAAATTTTAATATGTATTTATTTATTTAAAAAAGGAAAATAATTATGATTACATTAATGTTATACTACAAGTTTAATTTATGGTAAAATATTTGTCATAATTACAAATAATGTTTGGTGATATAATGTATTAGTCATTACAAATAAATTATAATAGTGCAAAAAAAAAATCAATCCTTATTATTTGAATAAGTGTGACAATTCATTTGTCACTGTAACTAGTATAATTTGACGATTAAATCATCATTAATATTAAATATATTTGTGACAATTTAATTTTGTCATTATTAATTATAGATATTTAGTGTCGTTTCAAAATATCATCACTAATTTAATAGTGATGTAAATATCAGTGACGACTGTTAACGAATTAAAATATCATCACAAATATATTTTAGTGACGATTTTTATTATTTTTAATGACAACTATTGTCATCACAAAAAATTAATTTTCTTGTAATAATTTTAACTATGCATTTTCATAGTACCCATGGTACAGTCGTAGGCCTCCACATTGAGAGGACATTTACGTGAGCCTCCCATTCAGGTGATGACATTTAGATCAAAAATTTTATTTTTACTTTCTTTCGTACAAACTTTTCAGAAAATGCAATTTTTTTATTAGCTTGTCCTACTGAATTTTTTGTGCGCACATTAAATATTTGCCACATTGGCCGTGTACTTGAATCCTTTAGTGATTTAAGTCTATAAAATATTTTAAACTTATTAAGAATTAAAAACAATAATTAAAACTAGATAATATCATATGATATAAGTCCCCTATTACTTATTTTTTAAATAATTCTTTTAAGGACTAAGCCTATGCTATTTTACTTAAATATTAGATTAGATCAGGCCTAATGCACATGAAACTATAGGTCCTCATGTCACACATTTACATTTCTAATTGGACCCTCTATTAATATAGAATTAGAAAAAAAAAATTTTTTTTTACCACTGTACAACAAATTAAGTTCCTCATTAATGAAAGAACCCTTTGTACATTAATAAAAGTTCCTTTTCAAATTTTATTTTTTTGTTTAAAAAAACTTTCTGATTTTTAACGTGCAAAAAGAAACACAGGAAGAAATGGTCTGAATGGTAGCTTGAACATAAAAGGTAGAAGGGAGTTAAATAGTTCCTTCAAAATCTATATTTTCTTTCAGCTAAGTAGGAAACTCTTTCAATAATTGGTTGGAAAATTGAAATCCGCTTATTAAACCTGAAAAACAAGAAGAATAACGGGGAAAAAACCCAAAGAAAATGACAAGAATGAATTCAAGAAACCAAACAAATAACAAAAATATTTATGTTGCATGCTTCCAATACATATTTTGTTCTTTATTTTTTTTTCCCTTTTGGAAGATTTGTTAATTTTCAAATGCAATCATATAGTTTCTTCTACATCTAATCAAGAAACGTTTTCAATGGTCATTATGAAATTGAAATAAGCCTCCTAAATTTCATAAAAAGGAAGAAGAGAATACTTTATGTAACCAAAGAAAAGTGCATGAAAGAATTCATGAAAACAAATAAATCCCAATATTATTACATCATCGAATTCGAAACCCATATAAACATATAAAAAGTACAGTGAGGAATGAATGTGTTACAGAATAAACAATATGAATCATAATAAACATTAACCCCTACACATATTTCATATAATTAGGATAAGCATGTTGTTTCAATATTGTTTCATAAAATTCAAAAGAGAAGCCCAAATGCAAGAGCAACAAACGAAGCAACCAATGTTGGAACGAACAAGGTGGTAGCATCCGATGTGGGACTTGGAGATGGTGCCTCCGCAGCTGACACACCTGATGCTGCCATCATCAACATGGCCACCACCATAGCGAAGAAAAACTTCATCTTCAATGCCTCCATTTCTGAATAATTTTCCCGGAAAATTTTTTCCTCTGAGAAAAGAAACTTGGGATTAGAGGGCTTGGTAGTGTGTGAAAATAAAGTGTGGTCATAGGCGATTTTATATAGATGCTGCAAGAGATTGATTTTTATTTTCATTTTAATGGAAAAGCGTAGGGATTATGTTTTTTTAACGGGCAGGCTGCCCCAACGTTTTATTTTCGAGGATTTCAAGGCTGTCTTTGTACAGCACAGCAAACAGTTTAGGTTGAGTTAATTATTTATGGAATATGATATTATGTTTATTTATTTTTTTTTGTCTATTTTATCTATTTATCTTTAATATTTTTATATTACAATCTCAATCAATTTTTACCTTTTCCTATCCTCCCATTGATAGTTGAGATTGTGACCAAATGATATTGAATAGAAGTAGATAAAATATGCATGAAAAAAATGTAAGTATAATATCTTATCACTTTATGTATATATGTTCAAATTTATTTCATTAAATGTTGTTATGTATGAACCACCACCTATTATTTGCGATGACAATAAATTAAGCTTGAATTTTTAAAAATATTTATTAATTAAGAGTTAAATTTTATTCTTTAAAAAAAATGTTTAGCTTATTATACTAGCTTATGTTGTTATTATTTAGATATATATTTAAGAATTTAAAATATTTACATAATTTATTATAAATTAATATAGTATGTTAATTTGAAAAAGAAAAAGTCTAAGTCACATCCTTTAATTTAACACGGTATATATATAGTTTGATTCTGAACTTTAAAAACATGCAAGATGATCATCAAACTTTTCAACATGTGTGAAATGGTCCTGACTTTGTCTAAAATTTGATAGAAATTGGCATATGTGTTGATATATCCTAATGCAGATACTAAAGCTGACGTGGATGCCAAAGCTGACGTGGAGTAAAGAAGCTGAGCTGTTAGATTTGCTGTTAATATTAGTTATAATTTGTAACTACTTTTGGCGCTCAAAGTTTGTTGATAGTTAGAATTCGTTATTCTTTCCTTCAGCTTTCCACTGTCATATATAAGGCGGAAATGCTTTGATGTAAACTCAGATTTTACAATACAATGAATTCCAAGAAAACTAAGATGGTATCAGAGCTCTAATGCCTCTAGGCCTTCTACCACGTTCTGCAATTTCTTGTTCATCTTCCTTCTTCTTTTTCGATCAATTTCTTTCTTTTGATTTTGCTGTCAACCATGGCAGAACAGAACCAGAACCAGTTATCAGATCCATACTATCTTCATCCCAACGAATCACCATCCTTGATTCTTGTTTCTCCATTGATGAATGGAAAGAACTACCATGCCTAGTCAAGAGCCATGAAAGTGACATTGATCTCGAAAAACAAACTTGTGTTCGTTAATGGCACGATTACTGCTCCTGCATAAGACGTTGTGATCTTTCCTGCTTAGGAAATGTGCAACACAATGGTTCTCTCCTGGCTCCACAAGTCCATTGTTGAGTCCGTTGTGCAATCCATCCTCTGGATTGATAAAGCATATGATGTATGGAACGATCTGAGGGATCGTTTTTCCCAATCTGACACCTTTCGTATTGCAAACTTGCAAGAAGATCTTTTTCACACTAACCAAGGTGATAAATCAGTCTCTGACTATTTTACAATTCTAAAAGGACTTTGGGATGAATTTGGTAACCTCAGACCATTTCCACCATGCACATGTGGAACTTTGGCTCAAACACGAGAACACAGGGAAACAGATCAAGTCATAAGGCTTTTAAGAGGTCTCAATGAAAATTTTGCACAAGTCCGTTCACAAATTATGCTTATGTCTCCACTTCCAAGCATAAACATAGCATTTTCTCTCGTTCAACAACAAGAAAGGCAATTACGAGCAGATACACATGGTAACAGTATAAATGAGACAAAGGTTTTTGCTAGCTCATCAGAAGGTCCACGTGGTCATGCTTCTTCATATAGAGGAAGAGGAGGAAGATTCACTGGTGGACGAGGCTCCAATACCAGTAACAAATACTGCACCAATTGCAAGAAGACAAATCACACGATAGATACATGATATTTCAAGCATGGCTTTCCTCAAGGTTACAGATCAAAGAATTTTCAAAGTTCAAGCAATGCCACTCAAACTGACCACAACACAAACACTGTAATTGGAGATCATAATGCACCAACTCCACAAGTGTCCATTTCACAGGAGAAATATGAAGAATTTATGGCTTATATGTAGCACAACAATTCCACTCATTCGACCAATATGGCACGTACAGTCCAACTAAATGAGAACCTTCCTATGACAGGTAAATTTTCAATACAGTGGCTCCTAGATACAGGAGCCACATACCACATATCTCATATGCAATCCATGTTTAAATCCATACGCAAGATCACACCAGTTTCTGTTTTCTTGCCTGATGGATCTTCTGTCATTACTTCACATGCTGGTATTGTGGATATTTCTCCTACTCTTAGCTTAAAGAATGTGTTATACATACCAACATTCAAGGTAAATCTTATATCTGTCACAAGATTGCTTGAAAGTGCTAACTGTTTCTTGGTTTTTTATGCATCACATTGTTCAATCAAGCAGAAAACCAATTTGAAGACGATTGGTACAGCTTGAAGAAAGGGAGAACTGTTTGTCATGAGCACTACATCTACACAACCCACCTCAACTTCTCAAACTTTTCATAAATGCTTTCACTGTAATAAAAAAAATGATTCCTGACTGTGGCACCTCCGATTGGGCCATGTCTCAGAGAATATATTGAAGCATGTTGCTTCTCAGTTTTCTTCCATACCAAATTCCCTTGTAAAGCCATATGATATTTGTCACTTTGCTAGGCAAAGGAGATTACCTTTTCCTGTCAGTAGCTCTTCTGTTAATAAAATCTTTGAAAGACTACATGTTGACATTTGGGGACCATTTTCGGTTCCAGCTATTAATGGATATAGATACTTTTTGACTTTGGTTGATGATTTTTTAGATTCACTTGGGTTGTTTTCATGGTGTATAAAAGTGAGACACGACAGCTTCTACAAAATTTTGTTAAACTCATTGAAAACCAATTCGATGTATCATTAAAATGCATTCGAACAGACAATGGGAAGGAGTTCCTCATGCCAGAATTTTACTCTCAAAAGGAAATTGTTCACCAAACAAGCTGTGTGGAAACACCACAGCAAAATGGCTTGGTGGAAAGGAAACACCAGCACATTATGAATGTGACAAGAGCCATTGCTTTTCAGGCATCCATACCTCATTCACTTTGGAACTATGCAGTCTCACAAGCAGTGTTGATCATTAATAACTTACCCACTCCACTACTCCAATACAAATCACCATATGAAATTCTGTACTCCAAACCACCCATACTGCCCAACCTTACAATTTTTGGTTGCCTTGCCTATGCATTTACCCTTACTCATAGACATAAGCTATCTCCTAGAGCTCGCAAATATGTTTATTTAGGACAATCACAAACTACCAAAGGGCATATCCTTTATGACCTACCCTCTAAACAGATATTCATATCACGAGATACTGTCCTCTATGAGTCCATTTTTCCATTTAGCTCTTTTAACTCATCCACACCATTATCACACCATTCCCTCACACAGCCATCTGTTTCACCTCAACCCTTACCATCTCTTGACTTTTCTTTACCACCTATACATAACAATTGTCATCCTGATCCAATTCCTCCACCTTTAACCCACCCTCATACCACTGCTGCTAACCCTATATAGCCTAGACGTTCTGATAGAACCAGAAACCCACCCTCCTAACTCCAGAACTTTCACTGCAATGCAATCCAAACCAATTACCCTTCCATTAAATACCCATTACATGATGTTATTTCATATCAACATTGCTCCCCTAGGTTCCACAACTTTTGTTCCAATGTCTCTATGCAAACAGAATCCAAGTCATATAAAGAAGCCATCAAGCACCATTGCTGGCAAGATGCCATGCAGACTGAGTTACAGGCTCTTGCTCTAAACCAGACTGGAAGCTGGTGGATTTACCACCTGGGAAAACACCCATTGGCTGTAAATGGGTGTACAAAACCAAATACCTTGCTGATGGATCGATTGAGAGGCATAAAGCCCGACTTGTTGCAAAGGGCTACACCCAAGTTGAAGGAATAGACTACTTCGATACATTCTCATCAGTAGCCAAGCTTACAACTGTTCGAACACTCCTGGCTATTGCTGCTGCAAATAATTGGCATCTTGAACAATTGGATGTCAATAATGCCTTCCTCTATGGAGACTTAGACGAGGAGGTTTACATGGTTCTTCCACCAGGCACTCCTACCAGCAATCCCAATCAAGTGTGTAAGCTGTTTAAGTCCCTTTATGGCCTCAAACAGGCTAGTCGCCAATGTCACTCCAAGCTGACTACTGCCTTGTCTTCTTTAGGATACATTCAATCCTTTGCTGATCATTCCCTTTTCACACTTAAGGTTGGCCCTCATTTTACTGCCTTGCTCATATACGTTGATGATGTTGTGTTAACTGGTAACAATATGGCTGAAATTCATCGTGTGAAGTCTTTTCTGGATAAACAATTCAGAATCAAAAACCTTGGTTCCTTAGGTAGTGTTTGGTTCGGGAGAAATTTTTTTTTACTAGGGAAATGTAATTGATAGGGAAATGATTGAAAAGTGAATTTGGTAGGAAAATATAAAAAAAGTTGTTTGGTTTACCCAAATATTACCAGAGAAATTTATTTAAATATGCAAAATCTATGTTCGGGAGAAACTTTGCACCTGTTTTTTCACTTCCTCAGTTATCTCAAAATACCACATCTCAAGTGGTATTCTGTAACAGTGAATTTCATCCAAAAATCAACACAAAAGTCATTTTCCCATCTATCCTATTTGCCTAGTATTTCTTGAAAAAACCTGAACCAAACGTGATATTTTCCAATATCCACTTACACTTTCTCATCAATCCCAAAATAAACCTTCAACCAAACACTACCTAAAGGTATTTC